ACATGCATGCAGGGACGGCCCTTCCACCTGATAACAGGACCCTTTGATTTCTAGGAATGAGGTGTAAGTGAATACTGACTGTTTGTTGCAGGCCTGGGGATGTTTGGATCCATACACTAAGCTGCATCTGGTTCATGGTCACATACCAACAGCCTCAGCTCGTTCAATGTCCAAACAAACAGCTGTTTGCCACAGCCAAGCAGCAGCTTGCTGAGTGTTTTAGCTTCTGAAGTTGGATAAATCAAATAGTTAAAGAAAAGCATTGTTTTTCCTCCTGGGTAGTTCATCTGGAGAGGAAGTAGTGTGACTTGGTAAATTCCTATCATTGTTTCATAATCATGATAAGCTGAGTATAATAGTGACAAGTCTTGCATGCTGACCACTTGTCAGACCTGTGTGGGGAATGAGGCTCAAGCTGGGATGTGGTGAGCATCCAATGTCATGTTCTGGGCTTCACTCCGGCTGCTCCCCACCATTCAACCCTCCCTGATCTCCCAGGCACAGAAGTTCCCTGTAGCTTTGCTCAGATGGGTCCTTCTCCTGGGGATCACCCAACAACTCTTCCCTGGATCTGTCAGTCTCCTTCTCTGAGTCACAGTTGAATCACAGCTATCCTCAAGGAAACAGGCTTTTAAAGGAATGCATCCATTGTAAATGAGAGAGAGAAAGAGAGAGACATCAGACTCTAACCATACACTCTTTGACACACGCTGTCCAAGGGTCTCACTGATCTCCATGTCTCTTAATGATCACATCACTGTTTCTTGACCTCTATCCAGTCTCTTTCAACTCTAAAATACAGTGTTCACACACATCTCCTTTAGTGACCACACGCAAGGGTGGCCCAGGGCTACTACTAGATACCAGTAATCTCCAACTCACAGGAAGACTTAATCATTGGCTTTGCCTTTTTGGCATTTGTCCAAGAAGGATCCAGCAGATCAGGCCCTCTGTAGGCAGGGGGTAGGCATTGGCATTGCAGCATCCCACTTCAGAGCTGCAGAACAAAGACCTCTGGCTGGCTCTAGAAACCTTCATGCTCCCTCAGACTCAAAACTTCCCTGGTGGTCGCCCACTGTCAACATCTGGAACCCATTTCTTCTCTAAAAAGCTACCCAGAGAGAACCGGCTGAGCTGTGCTGGGCCCCATGATGTGGTCACAAGCACCCAGGGCTTCGGGAAGTTATGTGGGAGAGATTCCCACGTAACTGGATTAACCAGTAAGGATAACCTGAGTGGAGGATACCAGTCGAAGAGGAGACATTCAAAACACTTGGAAATCACTCGAGTTTTATATCCTAACATCAAGGGCCAAGGGAAATAGCATACCTTTATGCGTTCTTAAGTCTGTGCTTTGATTGGCATTATTTTTGCTTTAAATTCCATCTAGGAAAGACACATACTCTTGTCCAGTCCTTAGAATGCTGAAGGTTTCCTCTAGTCTCAGGTTGGAGACTTGAAGGTCATTCCCTTCCTATTTCCTATTTTTAATCTTTTTTTCTTTAAATTGAAGAGATGCTAAGTAAAAAGCAAGAGACCTGCAGTCCAGACTGGTCCATGCTGTGAGCACACCAGGAGCCCTCAAAGGCTGCACCAACCCAGGACCTCTCGGCAGATGGAACAGAACCAGGTGATGTGCACATCCCAGGCTGCCCATGCAATGTGATGTCCCAAAAGAGACTGCAGGCCAGAGGAAGAAGGAAGCCCACCCTCCGGGGCAGCCAGGCCCACTGACAGCAACAAGCAGTGCAGGGGAATCATACACACTGGCCCGAATCCCAGGAAGAATTTCTAGAAGGTCTTTGTCTTTCTCCTAAAACACTCTGTCCCACATCTACATACATAACCCTAAATTTTATGAGGACATAGAATTCAGATAAATTGTCCTTCTCAAGCTATCCCTGGGCTAAGAAATGCCAGCATGCGATGCCCTCCTCCCAAAGCCAAGGGCTGGCATTTACAGTAAACACAAGCAGAACTGAGCAAAGTGAAATTGGGAGAGACAGATTAAAGCTTCCTCAGGCATGACTGGGTCCCCAGGACCTTGTGACAGATACATGGATGTGACAAGTAAGTGCAGCACTGAAGCTGTGGCCAGTGGTTATGATTTTAACAGATTATATATTAAAGGGTTACATAAAAATGATGTTACGTGTAGCATCATTGCCTTGGTCTTATCTCTTAACCTACAAAGCTTTACTCTGTGGTCCTTTGCAGAGATAGGGACAATCCCTGCCCTAGACAATGGCTGGTTTCCTTCTTCCCCAACCCCTTCCCGCTTGAATGATGAAGAGTGAGGACCGGGCCAGGGTCCTCCTCCAGCCAATCAACCTCACCTGCCTCATCTAGAATGCCCTCTCTTTCCCCAGCTCCCTGCAAGGGGCCTAAATTGCTTTTCTCCCCCTCCTCCAGTACCCACCTAGTGCTTCAGTGAGGTGCTTAGCTTTGCAACTCTATGCAAGTTGCTTGAGCACATCCACATGTGGGTTTCTCATACTACTCATTTTCCATGGGCATTCTGAACACTCCTCATGTGCATGGATTTTTTTTAAAAAAAACATTTACTAGCATAATTTTTCTTCACTTGAGAGTAAAAGAAAACACCTTCCATGCTCTGGTTCATTTTTCCGATGCCTGCAATGCCCAGGGCTGAACCAAGCTGGAGGAGACAGTGTGTAATTCCACGCATGTTTCCCACTTGGGTTGCAATTTATTCAACCATCACTGTGGCCTCCCAGGGTCCGAGAGGAGCCAGAGACTGTGAGATGGAACAGGAGCATCTTCACTGTCATTTTAACTGCTCAGCTGAACACTCAGCCTTAAATGTAGCTTCTAATTCCATGTTCTGTGAGTGTTTTAAAGTTTCCTCGTAGGATCTTGCGAGATTTGCTTCTGTTCTAGCATGACTGACTTCCCAGGGAGACTTAGTTCTGCGAAGGCAAGGGTGCACCTCATTTTTGCCTTTGCAGAAGAGAATGCTGTGCACCCAGTAGACATGTGCACTTGGCCATCAGTCAGAGCCAAACTCCATTGTGCTCAAGTCCATCCTGGCTGGAGGAAGCTTGGACTGAGTGGCCCTGCACCTTTATTAATCCTTGGCTCCATCAACCTCCAAGCCTGGAAATGCTTCCATCAGTCTTACCAGAATGATGCAAACCCCATCTGCCTGGAAAAATTCCTTAAGAGCCAATATTCTGTTTAGTTCTCCCCTCTAGGGAGTATTTCCAGCAGGGTAAAACCAAGCAAGGCACTGAGGCTCTTAAATTCAGTGCAAGGATCTGTGTCTTCTAGATGCATGAACGCTTAGGCTTTGGGCAAGCACATAGACAGGAAAAGAAAAAAAAAAGTAGTGAAATAGAGTCCAAGATGGGGAGGGGGATGTTTTGTTGTTCTCACCCCAGAGTAGAATATTCAGGAACAGTTAGATGATAAACCCAGAAACGGTGTCCTGCTGGAGACCCGGGAGGAACCTGTGGATGAAGAGCTTGGCTGACCTCGCTTGATGTAATCTGTTCAGGAAGGCAAAGGCTTTGGGGGAACCAAGGCCAGGTAACCAGAGGAGGGTGGGAAGAGGACAGGAGGGCTCTTGACCTCAACTGGCCCTGGACAGAGGTTTGACCTTCAGATTCCTCTCCTGCGGTTCCTGCAGCAGGGCTGAGCATGGAAGCCAGAGAGAAACACTGGGATCGCTTTCTAGCCTTGCAGTGACAGGTGCACCGGGAATCGCACCAGCTAGTGGGTGGCTCTCACAGGGTTCCAGGACAGATGTGGGAGGAGAGCTGCAGCAAGGCCCCTGACTCCAGGATTTCTTCTTAAACCACCATGATCTGTTTGTAAATTACTTGATTGTATCCCTTCCTCATGCAAAGCAGGGGGCCTCAACATCTCATTTTCTCTCTCTCTCTCTCTCTCTCTCTCTCTCTCTTTCTCACACACACACACACACACACACACACACACACACACACTCTGAGGATTTGCTTAAGAGGGCACCATATCCTCTGTCTTTTAATGACAAACCACATTCTAATTGGGCCAGCCCTGGGCAGTGCACCTGCACATGTCTAAAATCTGGGTGTTGCTTTGCTCTCTCTTTATTGTACAAATCCACAACAACGGACCTTCAAGCCAAAACTGGTGACATTGCTTTGGGTTTTTAGGGGTTATTACCCAGTCCCAAAACCCTAGGTGCGTGTTGTTACAAACACTATCTTCCTGGGAGTAGAGGATTTGAGGATGGGAGAGATGATAAGCAGTCGGGCTTTGGCATGACGCCCTGCTTTTAAGACAGACTGCAAATTATACATAAACAGAGCCTATCTGTGTTTCCTTTGCTTCGCCATGTAATGAAAAACACAGCAGGGGCCCTGTCGTACATGCCACTTCCCCCTCCGACGTGCTGCTCACGGTTCCTGACAGCAAGCAGCTTCAGGCATTCACAGACACTGTCTTGGAGCCCTCTGTTCACGTCTTGCAGACATCCACCGTTCACGGTTGCCTTTTCAGTACTTTCTTACGCCATCCCCTCCACCGCCTCCCTGGTACGAGCCAGCCAGCCCTGTGGGAGAGGGTATGACTGGGAAACATCTGCTTGCTCTAGCAAACACAGAAGACAGCTAGTCTTCGGAGTATTTGCCGCACAAAGCAACAACAGAAAGCTCCGAGTTGATTGGCTAATTCCCATCTGAGAAAAATCAGAGTCAGGCTATGCTTACCTGTAATGAAGCTGTGCCAGGACCAATCAGGGGAGAGGAAGGCAAAGGAGCTTCTTCTTGCTGGGGTAGGCATGAGTCAGAGCTCTGCCACTGCCTGGATCAAACACCATCTCCTCTGATTTTCTCACTGAGCGTGCAATCTGGTGAACACGGTTCGTGTGTGCAAATCAGGTTTGTCACTCAGAGCTCCAGGGAGCAGTGCTAAGTACAGCAAGAAACAGGCTCCTACTAAATCCTACTAGGAATTCCAAAACCATTCAGTTGTAGAGAAATGAACACTTTTCCCAACCAAACATCATTTTATTTCCTGGGATAAAAATGATGAAGGATCCAAAGTCTTTCTCCAACATCCTTGAAATGCTTTTCAGAAAAGGATTGTTTAAGGCGCACACAAAAGTCAGACTTGCCTTCCTTCCAGAACATTCCCTGCCTGAGACACAGCAACGATAACACAGCTCAGAAAAAGAGACAGACTTCAAAAACCCAAGAAATGAGAACATCAATACTGGACTCTCCTACTCCGATGGTGAGTTCACAGAAAACATCCCAACAACTCTTTCCCATAAGTACAACATATATCTTGAAGATTTACCCAAAATATCTCCATCTGAACTACAGTACAAAACTCTACTCCCCAGCCACAAAAAATAATGTCTCCCCACCCCCATACACAAATGCAACTGTATATAAAGCAAACTTGAACCCATGGGTAGAGAGGTCAAAAAGTCTCCTGGGATCTGGGCTATTTAAAGTCATTTTTTTTTTTTTTGGTTGTTGTTTGGGTTATCCCTCTGCTGGGTATAGGAAAGCAGCCACCAAATACATCCTTCTACAGCGTTTACCATTTCAACAAGTCCTGCGTCATGGAATGTGGTGCTTTTTAAAAATAGGTGACCCTTAATGTCATGGAAAGAAAAGGGAAAAGCGGGGAGACCGAGGGAGGGGAGTGACAGAGGAGGGACAGTCAGGGGTGACAGGGTAAGCTTGCAATACTCTGTGGTAAGGTGAGGATGCCCAGGTTGGGGGGAAGGGACGCTGTTTCCTCTAGCCCACTGCCATCAGTCTCCTTCACAAATCTGTTTCCCGGCTTGTGTCCAGGCAGAGGGCATACAAGGACCTCCGCAGATCCACATTGCTCTTGGCCTTGAGGTTGTATTTCTCCAGGGGGCAGCTGCCCCTCCGGGAGCCCTCCGCATTCTCTAAGGAAGCCCCAGTCTTGCCAAGGGAAGCCTTGCTCCAGCTGGCCTTGCGCTGGCCTCCAGCGTCCAGGGAGGTACCCCGGCTTTGGATGCCCGGCTCCTCTTTCAGCACTACCTGCTCCTCGTGGTCTGTCTCGCGATGGTAGAAGTAGTTGAAGTTGGAGACGATGACCGGCACAGGCAGCGCGATGGTGAGGACCCCGGCGATGGCGCACAGTGAGCCCACGATCTTGCCCCCGACAGTGATGGGCCTCATGTCGCCATAGCCCACCGTGGTCATGGTGACCACCGCCCACCAGAAGGCATCCGGGATGCTAGAGAAGTGGGTGCCCTGGTTGTCAGCCTCTGCGAAGTAGACGGCGCTGGAGAAGAGGATGACACCGATGAAGAGGAAGAAGATGAGCAGCCCCAGCTCTCGCATGGAGGCCTGCAGGGTCTTGCCCAGGATCTGCAGCCCCTTGGAGTGACGGGAGAGCTTGAAGATGCGGAAGACGCGCACCAGGCGGATCACCCGGAGGATGGCCAGGGACATGGCCTGCTGCCCGTTCTGCCCGCCCCCTGGCTGCTGCTCGGCCAACTCGGTGCCCAGCGTGATGAAGTAAGGGAAGATGGCTACAATGTCTATGACGTTCATGATATTGCGCGAGAACTCAGCCTTGCTGGGGCAGGCGAAGAAGCGCACAAGCAGCTCGAATGTGAACCAGATCACACACGTGGTCTCCACGATGAAGAAGGGGTCAGCCAGAGTCCTGGGCAGCAAAGGTGCCACCGTTGGGCCAGAGGCAGGTGCCATAGCCCCATTGCTGCCATTGGCCCCCGGGGCGGGAGCAGGAGGCTGGTGGGGCACCGGCGGGTGGCGGAGCAGCTCACGTTCGTCCTTGAACTCGGGCAGGGTCTCCAAGCAGAAGGTGATGATGGAGATGAGGATGACCAGCACAGAGACGATGGCGATGGCGCGCGCTGACCCGGAGCTCTCTGGGTACTCGAAGATGAGCCACACCTGGCGCTGGAACTCGTTGCGGGGCAGCGGCCTCTCCTCTTCCTTGATAAAGCCCTCGTCCTCCCGGAAGCGCTCCATGGCCTCGTCCCCCAGCTGGTAAAAGCGGATCTCATCGGCAAACACGTCCAGGGAGACATTGACCGGCCTGCGCAGACGGCCCCCGGACTGATAGTAATACAAGATACCGTCGAAGCTGGGCCGGTTGCGATCGAAGAAGTACTCGTTCCTCAGGGGGTCGAAGTAGCGCAGGCGCTTGGCGGGGTCGCCCAGCAATGTGTTGGGGAACTGTGACAGGGTGCCCAGCTGCGTCTCGAATCGCAGCCCGGAGATGTTGATAAGGACGCGCTGGTGATGAAGGGACCCGGCGCCCAGCGTCTGCTCCTCTGCCACGCCCAAGCTGGTCTCATCGTCTTTCTCTTCTTCCTCCGGGGGCGACCCTCTGGGCTGTGGCAGCTCCTGGGGCCGTGGCGACAGAGGCAGATACCCTGGCTCTGTGAGCCTCTGCACGTTGCCGCCGCAGCCGCCGCCCCCTCTAGGCGCGAGTTCTTTGCAGTCATCACCAAGCACAGCCGTCGGTGCTGCCTCACTGCAGCCCTCCCTGGCCTCACCTCCTTCTCTGAGAGTCATGGCACCGCCGTTCTCCAGGGGCCCCAGGGCGATCTCCATGACTTGAGGGCATGGAGCATGTTGCGCCCCAGCCGGCAGGCTCCCACGCCCCCACGCGCAGGCTGCCTTTTCCGCCGTCGGCCAGTGGAGCTCTTGGGGGAGCTAGGGTTGCTGGCGTGGACCCTTCTCTTGTTCCTGACGCTAGGGAGCCGCTGCCCTGCTGCCTGTCCGCCTAGCTCTCCGGGTAACCAAGCAGCCGAGAAACCTCCTCCAGCAGATGCAACCTTCGGCCGCCCCTCTCTGGCTGCGCAGCTCTCGGCCTCCGCCCTCTGCGCCTCCCCATCCCTCCCCCGGCCGCCAGCTCCTCCTGCTTCCCTCCCACCAGCGGGCACCGTAGCCGCGGGAGCCTTCCCGGAGGGCGCACAGCTGGGCCCCAAGCGAGGGAAGGGAGGGGGGCCAGAAGGGCGCAGCCTGGTGGAGGGAGGAGTCGGGGAGGAACAGGTTGTACCGAGAGCGCCAAGTCTCCCAGGGCAACTAGATGGGACCAGCTTTGGATTTCAATTCACTTGGGAACCCGCTGACAGCCGAGGGAACCTCAGGGCATGAAAGGCCAGGCGACAGAAACCGTTCATGTTTTGCCTCCGATAGACGCACCGTACCACATCTTTGGGATAAATTACAGATAGGAGATAAGGAAACCATCTGCTTTCCCAGCTTCCTACAAACCAATGGAAAGGTATAGGGCGGCAACCCTGCGGGGTCCCCTGCCCTCGCCCTGGGAAAATCCCTGGTCCCACTGGAGACAGCCGTGTTCATCAGCCACAACCAGCCTCAGGCAGACAAACCAGCCTGCCAGGCAGCAGCCCTGGAGATAAGCTTTTGGGTCTCTTAATCCTGTGGACACACAGCCGCTGCCCTCCACCAAATCCTGTTTGCAAAAACCACAGCAGAGAAGAGCAAAGAAGGGCTTTGAAAGCCCCCGGGGTGAGCTGCCTGCCGGCGCTTGGCACTAACAAGCGCGTTGGAAGTTGGGACTAGGGGCTGGGAAGGAAAGGGTGCTCTGGAAGGGGAAGCGAAGAGAGGTTGTGGAGTTCCAGAAGCTGGAGAATTCCCAGCAGTAGAATCCTGATTTTGCTGTCAATGTCGGTCAGTGCCAGCTCTTTCCTAGTGATTGATAAATACTGGTTCCTATAGCTACAGCAACCTAGCCTGTAAAGATTATTATTATCCCTCCCCATACACACACACACACACACACACACACACACACACTTTGCAAATAAGGAAGTTCTGGGCTACAAAGACAGAAAGTGATGAAACTGCAAGTCGAGCCTACTGCTCGCTGCTGTGCAGAAATGCTAAGCCCCTTTGCAGAGACCAGAGGGGACCCAGTGACCTGGATGGCTAGCTGAAAGTTCTGGTGAGGGAGCCAGGTTAACTCCTCCTGCCCTTGAGCCCTTCCCTGCAGGATTTGGGTGGCATTGATGGCCCAGGGAAATGCTTTCCCAAGCATGTCTGGAAATCCCAGACATCGCCTCCAGATGTTTCTCAGTTTTCAATTGCAGTGGTAAAGTCCTTGTATGTGTGTTCCAGTCTGATTGCATTGTCTGTCTTTGTTCCAGTAGACAATTTGGGGGTTATTTATGTAAATGTGTGCCTACCACCTGTTGCTGTGTTTTGGAGTGAAGGCTGGAGAAAAATCTGTGCATGTAGCTTTGGGAGGGAGTGTGCACCAGGTGGTTTTTTTTTTTCTGTAAATGGCTCTCATGGCATAGGACTTTGAACACAGGGCCAGCTGTCTTTGTTGATACATGCCCGTGGAAGGGGTGAATGAGAGTGTCAGTGCCCTTCACAGGCTGTGTCCTCCCCTCTCCCCATCCTGGCATCCCTGCTCTGTCTCACTGGGCCCGTGTTCTCGGGCACTGGGGTTACCCTTCAGGACCAGGCCTGCCCCTGTGAGTGTGCAGAGGGTGAAATCAGGTACCTATCGATGTCTGCCTCTTGCTTCCTGACTTGTGTAAATTCAGAGGCTCCTACTGAATTCCCATAGACGCTCCTTGGCTTCCATAAGAACAAAGTGTGCTTAAATGTGCTTCCAGAACATTCACCAACCCGCAGAGGTTCTCTGTACAACTGCCTGCAGCTGTCACCTGTGGCAACCATGGAAACAGAGACTGCTGAGACCTCCCTTTAGAAAGAACTTGGACTCTTAGCTGCAAGAGTGTTGTTCACCAGTGGTTTCCTGCTGTCGGCGACTTACGCCTTGCCCCAGCTTTAATGCAAGAGCCAAGCTCCTTCTGGGCAGACTTTGGAGCACAACAGAGATGCTGGACTCAGTCATGTGCTGCCCACGGTAGAGCTCTGCTAATGAACATTCATGGCACTGGACTGGGTTAGGTGAGACATGCTTAGGTCTACCTTGCAACCTGCAGATCTCCCTAATTCATTCTTCCCCGTTTCTTTTCACAAGTGCCCCATCAGCACCAGTGTCTGAATGCTTCCACTTCTGTGTCTTCTTCTCAGAAGATGCATCGTCTAACTGAAAGTTGCCTTGGTTTTCAGCCCATTGGGTCCTAGGAGATAAGCTCTTTTACAGCAGTGCTTAAATGGCACCCAGATCTGGGGATCTTGCTAAATTGCAGAATAAGAGCAGGATAGGATTTAAGAACTCATTTCAAATAAGTTCCCAGATGATGTTGATATACTTGTCTACAGATTACAACTGGAAGCTACACCCTTGCCTCAGACCATTGCAAAGAGATGCCTTGTAAAGAATGATGGGTAACACCTTGACCTTTTCTGCAGAATGGAACACATGCAGGGAAACATGCAGCTATCCTTCTCTCAATTTGCAGGATTATTACTGAGCAGATCACCTCACCTGGGATTAGAAGAGCTTCCTGAAGGAGTGATTAGACAGCAACTTTTCCAGGTAGAAGGAAAAGACTATCCTGAGCCTCTTGGGCAGGAAGGAACAGGGCTTGGGGAGACCAACAAGAAGCTGACATTGGCACGGAGGGCTGGGGATGAGTTCTGCAGACCAGAGGCAGAGGAAAGCCAGATGGTGGATGAGCTTGCTTGGGCATACATGAGAACATGTATCAGCGTGTGTATAACTGTGTGTGAGCACATCATAATTGAGTGTAAGTGTGTGTGTGTGTGTGTGTGTGTGTGTGTGTGTGTGTGTGTGTGTGTGTGTACATGCCAAGCCAGGGAGATAGATGATTGCTGTGTGCAGGGAGGAAGAAGAGCTGAAGGGGCTGAAGGGATGGGAGGCTGAAGACAGGGAAGGCTGATGCTTCATTGACCCAGATCCTGAGAGAAGGCACAGACCCGCTGCTAGGATTTCCCCTTTCAGAAGGATTAACCAATCGGAGGGGCCATTCACAAATCAAAGCTCACATCTGGTTCCACCTCCCCCTCTCTAGATATAATCCAGGAACAAATTCATTAATGGATTCAGTGCATGTTCGGAGGCCAGATGCAGAGAATGAAGCGACCTAAATATACAGGGACCAGCAAGTTCAAGCATGGTTTGCCCAGGAACTAACAGTTCCCCTTTCTCCTCCTTTCTCTTCTCTCTGCCAACAGGCAGGTGAACTGCGGCAGTCTCATCATGACTTAGTTTAGTCTCTTTTTTATTTATGTTTTTTAAAATATTTTAAACCACCCAGGCTAGTCCAGCCTGAAGCCAGGTTTCTGTAACTCCATCCAGATTTCCCATGTGGTCACAGGAGTCCAAACACGTGGGCCATTCTTCACTTCCATCTCAGGAGCATTATCAGGAATCTAGTGGGAAAGCAGAGCAGTTAGAATTTCAATGTACTCTCTGACATGCCATGCGATGCCAGCATTGCAAACAGTAGCTTGATCCACTACACCCCATCAACCTCTTTCTTCTAAACAGATTCTATTTCTTTACTTGCAAGGCAGTGAGAAGGAGAAAGAGGGAGATAAATTCCTCCTCCTAGTTCACTCTCCAAATGGCTACAACAGCTGGGATTGTGACAGGCTGAAGCCAGGGACCATGAGCTCTGTCTCTCACTTGGTTGCAGGTTCTTAAGTGCTTGAGCCACTGTTTACAGCATCCCAGGTGCATTAGCAGGAAGCTGATTGGGAAGTGGAGTAGTTGGGACTTGAACCTGCAGTCGACCATGGGACACAGCACCGCAACTCAACTTCCTGCATCACATCCTACACCCCTCACTTTCTCTTTTCCCAGGGCCCATTTTTTTCTCTCTCTCTCTCAGGCATTTTACAGGAGGCACCAGGACGCAGCAGGTGTATCTGCTGCTTGAAATGCCAGAGTCCATATCTGATTGCCAGTTCCCTAATCCTCCCCTTCTGATCCAGCTTTGGGATAATGCACCTTGGAGGCCAAGATGATGGCTCAAGGGCTTGAGTTCCCGCCACCCTGTGACAGAGCGGGATGCAACTTCAGGCTCCTGGCTTTGGCCTGGTCAGCCGTTGGTGGTGCAAATATTAGGGGAGTGAAGCAGCAGATGGGAGATTCTGCCTGTCTCTCTTTACTCTCTCTCTTCCTCTGTGTCATTGTACCTTTCAATATATGTTAAATATTAATATATATTAAAAATAAATAAAACCAAACCTTTCAATATAACCTGTAAAATGCAAGGTTGAGAACCCCGCCACAGAGGGCCTGTCCCACTTGAAGATCTGCTGCTTTAGGTGTCATGACACAAGGAGTTTCAGAACCCGCGGGCACATTTTCTGAATGAGAGCTTGAGGAAGATAGTTCTGGGCAGAGCTCCAGCATCCAAGGGCTAGGAATCCTCAACCTCTCTACAGGTCTTAGCGTCTTCCTTTGTGAAACGAAGACATCAAATAATGCCAGCTTCCTGTACTGTTCCAAGCAGCCAGCAAATCATATCTGTTGATTTGTTTAGACTAGTTAGTCTGTGGCATTTCTCTGTGGATAAATGCATGTCCAAGTGGCAAATAATCCCTACTGCCTGTGGGGTAATTAATGGCCTGCTCTTTCGTCTAAGGTTGTAGCCTTCATCTTGCAATGCAGTGGAAAACGAAGCCGGCTGCGTCCC